TTACCGTTCCGTTAGAACAGAACGGGCGGGGCGGGGCGCGCCCGAGGCAGCAGCGCTGGGAGCTGCCACCGCGTGTGCGAGACTGGAGAGAAAACACAGGAGCGAGGCCATCCAGCGCGTGTTTAACTGTATTTAGTTCCAAACAGTGCAGGTTTCATCACAAAGTTTTACTGCTCAGTAATTTCTTTTGAAACAATAAATAGTTCACCGAGAGCATTAACACACAAATTTAAAATTACAAGTGTACAAAGATTTTGGGCAGCACACGTTTTGGACGTACTCTTCAGAAACATTCAGTGAGCGCACATCTTCAAAGTCTCCATTACAAATAAATGTATTACCTCCCGTTTCAAAAGCATCAGAAACAAGGCACAGAAAAGCAAATACAAAAAGACTTTTGGAGATCATACGGAATGTTCAAGCAATTCTGTGTAACATATCAAGAGCAATCAAAAAAAGGCAAATTACAAAGTATCTGAAAAAAATTTAAATAACTGTTAAATAATGTAAATAATCTGTTTTAATCCTGTGAGGCACACTTGCTCTCCTGCAAGGTGCTGGGCTCCTTACACTATTAATTATTTCATCATATAAAATTATACTTTTAAAATTAGTGCAAAGCCTCATGTAAAACATAATTAAGGAGTATCAAAGTAGATCCTTAGTGTAGGCGTAATGGAATGCTTACAAAATCCCAAAGTGCTCCTATTAAACTGCAGAGGTTAACTTTTAGTCACACTTCAGAATTCTTTCAACTTAGAACTCTCACTTCCTTAAAAATGACAAAGAAAATATAACAATCAGATTAAGTAGAGAAAAAGCTACAATGTTCTGCATCTTATGCAAAATCCTTAAAAATCCAAAAAGTACACTGGATGCCAAAAAAATTATGCAGAAGCTATTAAACAGCAGATTACTGTTAGCGTAATAAGACATATTTAAAATAAGGCTTTGGTTAAATAAAAAGTTTACTAAACTAGGAATGCTGAAAAAGTGCAAAAGATTCACCAAATACACACCTTCATTTCCAAGGCAAGCATTACACCTGCCATTTACAATGGTTTGCATTGGTTTGTCAGCCTGCATTGTAATAGCTCAGATACCTATAGCAAAACATGTTTATTAGAGGCAAAATAAATATATGGGTTCCAATCTGTAACTTGCTTCACTCAAATCAGGGAACTATATCCATTAATAGCATAACTCCCATGCATGCTTCAGGGATCAAGGCCTGTAACATTCGATTATTTTAGAGCAGAGTTCACTCATTTTCGTATTATTTTCTAAACAGAAGTCCTCTGATGGCAGCTAGCAGGTCGCAGCTGATTTACTTACAAATAGAATTCTTTTCACACATGGGTAACAAAGATTTTTTTCTTTTTCTTTTAAAGTGCTTGATATTGGTCCATAAGAACACCGTAGATATGCGAGCTAAGATTGAACGTTTCGCTCTGTGGTGGATATCCTGAATCTAATGTCCATTGGTGCAATGTTAATTTGCTTGAGGTAAAAAAAGAAATCAGCTGAGTCTACAGAGGAGAATGTCACCTTCATAGAGAAAATAATTTAAAGTTTCACAGTTACAACACATGCTCCAGCTCTTCCTAAGCACAACGGTGCAACCTACAAGCAAAATAAAGGGAAAAAAAAAGTTAGATAAAGGTAGTTAAGTATTTTTTTCTAAAATTGACCATGGTTAACAGATGTAATAATAGTTGTACAGCAGTAGTAAAGCGGCAGTATCATCCACATACTCTGTAACTTCACTTAAAAAGTTAACTTGAGACAAAATTCAGTATAAAAACCTTCAGAAAAGGAAGAGATATTTATGATAGGATTACACTTCTTGAAGTCAACAGCAAAACCCAACAATTCTTATTACTGACTTCAACTACTTGGTATTACAGGGAAAATAATCCTTTCTTGTGAATTACTTACCACACTTGATAACTGACCTAGACAGTCAGACAACTGACTGGCAAAACTGTTTCTTTTCATCTGAGACAGAGAATCCCAAAAATAACAGAGACTTTGAGACAAAGATTGTTAGGTATGCGGTGAACTTACATAGTGCCAACACTTCTTGAATAGGAACTTACAGATGAGTAACTCATGTTATCTCCTTCCGTATGTATATCCGCACATACTGCATCAACATAGACATTGGCCCGCATTGCAAGAGGCCCTTTGAAAACAAAAGCTGAAGAGCAGTTCTTTCACGGGCAGTACTCTGCTTCAGCGGGAGCAAAAGGCTTCAACTGAGTGCCAGCTGTGCCGTCCCAGCTGCAGCGGGCCCCTCTGCCACAGGAAAGCTGCTGCTGCTGCTTGGGCAGCTGCTGTTGCTGGAATGAGCTCTAATTTGTGCAAGAGATTCCCTTCTTGGCTGTGTCACAGCATGTTTTCAGACAAAGCAAAAAGACCTAGCATGCCTGCATCCAGAGAATGCAAGAGATCAGCACCAGAGATACGTGGCTTAGGGAGTGGACATGGAGGGGTGCATATATACATTTCTTGACTTAAGTGGAATTTTGACATCCTTTCAAGTAAAATCTTTGTATGGATTTTAAAACCAATCTTAAAGAAGAGAAATCTAAGAAAGATCAGCCAAAGTCTGAACTGCATCATTATCCTTGCAGAAAATCACTGTGACCAGAAATGCTGTTTTTATTGACAGTAAAAAAATGTGTTACCACTGATTGAAATGGCTTTCCCATTAGATACCAAATTCAGCTCATGTTGTTGGAAGGGAATCCAGACAACAACAACAAAAAAAAACACAATAAAACCTACTACAATAAAAACCACCCTTCAAAAACCTACTGGTAGTACAGTGAGAATGTGGCAAATCTTCAGGCATACAGGACCAAGACATCACCAAGGTCTACCATAAGTGAAAGAAAAATAAAATGGAGTTCTTCATATCCAATCAAAATTCCAGACTTCCAGAAAGTTAACAGAACATCAGGAAGGAATTACTTATTAGCAAGTGACCAAAATCTTGAAGAAATTGATAAACTTGCTGAAACACATACTGGAGGCTAAAACTCATCTCCATTTATCATTTGCCTTCAGAATAGGAAGTCATGTAAAGAGAACTCTCTATGACAGTTTGTCAAACATCTATACATTCTGTTAACAGTATATACACAACATTGCTCAAGTGATATACTCTTGCCAAAGAAACAATGACATTTTATTAAGATTTAAAAACTGTCTACTGAAGGTGAATCATCTTGAGATGGCAGATTAAATCTGGAGAGTGTGTAAAGAAAAATATAGAAGATTAATACAATCTGATAGAAAAGTGTTTCTTAAAGAAAGAGTAAGTTTTCTCTTTGTATGGAGATGCTTAAAATAACTTAATATAACAGTAAAATAAATAACAGTGTAGAGTTTGATCAGAAACTGTACCTGTGTCCACTCATTGGTCTGGGGATCGTAGGACTCCACTGTATTAAGGTATGTTTGCCCGTCATATCCTCCAACTGCATACAGCTTGTCACCAAGAAGACAGACTCCCACTGCATCTCTGCTAATGCTCATAGAGGCCACAGCAGTCCACATATCTGTTTTTGGATCATACCTAAAAGATAATTTTTATTAAACTGATGCTGAAATTCAGTGGAAAAGGTACTTAAATTGACTTTCTCAAGGCAGTACGTAAAGGTACTATTTGGTACATTAATTGAAAAGGATTTTTTTTTTCCCCTCAAATACATTCTTGAAAGTGTTTATTTAGTCATCTGGTAACACAGTCAGTATTAGCTACATATTTCCTTTGTGCTGCTTTACATACATTAATATATTCATATGCGTGCACATGCCCTTACTGCATTTCTTGCTGCATGGTTAGCCACACCATTCCAGAAACGGTTCTGCTGCTGGAGGATAGCTGAGACAAATGCTTTCTTTTTAAGAGATAACTATTAAAGCAGAGGCTGTTCGAGTGTGGTACTAAAGAGATTCACTTACCAAAAAGATTACCATTTTCAAAAAAGGCCCTCTCCAAACACCTCATAGTAACTTCATATAAATACATTGCAATTTCAGAATAATTAAATTACATATGAGTTTCCTGGAGTCATTGTGGTATACAGGAAAGGATACGATATTTAGAAGTCCACAAAGTTCGATCATTAACTCAATTAATAGTTATATTATGAACTGATACTGAAACCTGTGAGAGAACTTCCGTTCCATGTTCTTCTCAAAAATTACCATTTGTTCAATGAGAATTTGAGAAAACAAAATCATTTTTCTAGATGAAGTGCATTAGAAATATTTTTAAGTG